ACTTTATTACACAGAGTGCAGTTTTCTTTTTAAGTAATTCGAAGCTCCATATGTATATATATATATATATATATAGGCTTTTTTATTATAAGAAACGATTCCCAAGACAGTCCAAAAGGTTAGGATCGGTGCTTCGTGGCAACATCGAACCCACTTCTCCCGCTACCATCGTCACCACCATTCTACCCCCACTGGGGGCATTGCGCTTTTGCACCCTGCGGTTGATAAACAACAGCAGCTTCTGTATAAGATCAGTTTCGCTCCCACTACACCCAGGAAAAAATTTACGAACCTGAACTACTTTCGGTGTATAGTTTCGCGCTATGGTAGGAAGCATCTCAGCACCGTTAGGTGCCGGCATGTGGCTCTCTTGGGAAGCCTCATCCGCGCGCTGCGTAGGGCTCCCGCAAGCAAGCATGCGCTCAAAACGGGCTGAATGTGGGAGTAAGACAATCCCCAAACGATTTTTCGATTCATGAAGAACGACCCCTTTCTCACACGCGGCGATGGTGATCCTTCCAAACTCACACTCGGCAATCACCCTTGAGAGACTATCCGATGACTTGCGCGCGTCATCCCGGTTAGGATCCCCCCAGTTGATCCAAACCACACGCACCGCGAGCCCGAAAAGCGGAAAAAGACGCGCTATCGCGAGGTGAGGTCTCAGAATCGAAGAGCAGGGATCGGAAGACCCCTTTTTACCCCCCACCGTGGTGTTCGAAAGGAGAAATGTGTGTGATAAGCGCCGTATAAAAGCCGCCCGAATCTCGATCACCCGCCGTACGAGCATCCAAAAGCCCCTATTCAGCGCCCGTAAGGCGCTTCGGAGGCAGGTCGCCCGACTTCGCTTTCGCCGCCACGGCGTGATCGCGAAAGGTTTCCAAAATGCGGAAAGAAACCCAGCAAGCCCCTCTTTTCCCCTCACAGAAGACAAAGAAGAAGAAGAAGAAGAAGAAAAAGAGGAAAAAGAAGAGGTTGGCCATCGCCAATAACGGAAGAGGCTCACGGCCTTGGTGGTGCCGGTATGCATCGCCTTCATCTTCGCACTCGTGCAGTGGCGAACCCAACGAAACGGCTCGTGGGGGGGAATCGCGCGTTTGGCGAGGGGAAGTTTCGTTTCCAACCCGTCGTTTCGTTGAGGAGAAGCAGATCCCACGAGGGCAAGGGATTCCACCCGATGGCGTTTCGCATGTCGGGCGGATTCGTAATCGTCCCGCGATGATTCCCCACCTTTTCCATGCCGAAGGTCGTGTTTGAGGGCGGCGAGCGAGGAAGAGGATTCGATCCCGCGCGACGCCCGACTCACAGAAGGGAAGTTGGAGGTTGAAACAAAACGACTCCGCTTCTTCGGCATCGAATCCGATGCTGCCTCTTGGGATACCGATGCGGGCGTCGATTCGTCTTTCTTTTCGCTTTTTCGCTTTCGTTTTCTGCTGTTTCGCGTGGTAGGACCATCGCCGGGGTTGATGCCCTTTGAACCCGTCTTTGACTTGTGGAGTTTGAAGGGTTTCGCCATTGAAATGAACAAAGGGTTGACGTTGGAAACCTTTCGCTCACCAGAGAACGTGATAGCCGCTCGCACCAGCTTTGGAGGCGGCCTCAATGAAAGTAGTCTTTTGATCCCATGGTGCGGATGCTGGCTGAGCTGATTTGCTAAAAGCTTGAATCGCTTGGCAAGCAGCGCATCCAACACGCTTCCGGGGCTTCGATTGGCGTCTTTAGGTGGCATCGGGATGGATATTTCAGCTATCGGCAGATGTGCAACCTATCGGTGTGGATTTCCACAAGTCACTAATTCATCTCCTTCGAAATAGGGAATGGGTGAAAAGTAGAAAAGTAGCGACTAAGGTGTATCACGCAGCTCCCGCACACGTAAGGATCACCTCTAGCGTTGACAAGAAGGACCAGGTTCCATGTTCGTCCTGGTTTGTCCTTTTTTTCTTGCAAAAATTGTTTATAAAAACCATTTAATCGGATCCTTTAATCGCGTTGGTTAATGCATAGAAAGGAATCATATTCGGAAGGGGGCGAGTGCCCTTCAAACCGATAACGGCAGCACATCAACTACCGTAATCTTTTCCGTATCGCATAGCATCTCCTCCAAAGCCCTTTGCCGGGCGCATACAGCTCGTGCTAAGCTTCCTTTGGATACCTCGCAGTCGTCCGTTAGAGGGGAGGTAATTTCCTTTGCTTTACCCTTGTGCGGCGCCGGAATCCGCGAAGAATGTTTGGATGAAGGTTGTTCCCTCCCAAGGACCGGCTGGTTAACCCCCATGATGCGAAGAAGTTCCTCGCTTCGTTCGACAAGTTTAGCACCATAGGATGGGGTCACCAGGAACCACATCTTTGGTTTTTCAAATGCCTCCCCACTCATCAAGGAGCTCCAGGAATGGTAGACGCTTGGACACTCCGAATTCAACCTCGCCTCGTCAGCGCCCTTTCCTTCCAATAAACCCTCCACTGAGTTCAGGGATGGGGATGGAAACAAAAGCCAAACCAATATCACGCGGCTTCCGAAGCGGTGGGAAAAGAAACCCTCGCAGGTGGTGAGGCCGATACGCCGCAAGCAAAGGATATCCGCGTTTAATCGAAGCCCCCACGCCGCCGAAGAAAACGGAGGGAGCGATCCCGAATGCGTTTCGCAACGAGGTCTCCCTCGCCGTCGACAGGCAATCCAACTCGCCTCCATCAGCCACGAACCCGCCACCGCGTGGGCGCGAGGAAGGACATGCCCCCTCCATCGAGACCGCACCAACACGCGATAGGGGGCATTCGTTAAGTTTCCAAACCACCAAATCGGTCGGGAGATGAATGCGCGAGAAGAAAGAACAATTGGGGAGTCTGGCAGGCCGTTTCGCAGCCGCGATGAAGCCATCACCCCCTTTTCCGTTTCCGTTTGCTTCCCCTTTATCTTTCTCTTTCCCTTCCCGATATGCAGATTCACATCCGAGTAATCGTCCGGAAACGCGGCTCGCCCGAGCAAACGAAGGAGCGTCTGACGCTCTGCCATGCCAATCGTAACGCAACCCGAGCGATAACCGTTCGGCATCGCGTCGTGGACGTCAGGGCGTGGAACCCCCACAAGAGGGTTCTCGAGGGCGGGATCGCGAACCAGCCTCCCCGATAATCCTCCTTGTTTTCCAACCTGAAGTAAAAACCCGAAGAAAAGACGCGCGGCGCGAAAGTGTTGCCGCTTGTGAGCTCGATTCGTGAACCCCCCAGAGGTTGGAGGGGAAGGGGAAGGAGGGTGGGAAAGAAGCAGGGCGGAGCAGACGCAGCGCTCCAGCAGGCCGACCCCTCCTATTTCCGTCATTCCATTTTTCATCAGCGCGGGGAAGAGAATTATCGAAAAGGAATCCCGCCATGACGGGGTGGAAAGAGGGCGTGATTTGGAGAAACGAGACGCTGAAGTCGTCTTCTTTCCACTTCCTTGAGAGGGAGACGGGGGGGCGGCGATCCGCCGCCGGAGTCGCCCAAAGGCCTCGCGGATGGCCGCCAAAACCCGCGGCGAAGGCCCTATTTCGGAGGTTTCTTTCCCCAACTCCCCCTTCGCGTTTGAATGGGAAGCCTCACGGGAGGTTTCGCAATCCCTCAGCCCACTCGCGCACCACAATTCAAAAAGAGAAGCCATCGGATGCGGCGGGTGTGCGGAGGAAGTACAGGGCGTCCAATACGAGATCAACCGCACCCCCTTTCCTCCTTGTTTCACACGCGAGGAGAAATGAACCGGAGAGGGCGCCACGAGCAACACCCTCACCCCATTAATTCCCGTGGAGGGGAGGTGAAGGAGGCTCACGGGAACGACCCTGGCGTTGGAAATCGACCCTTCCGCGGACCACAGATGCCCATGCAGGATTGGAATCGGATCGAAACCGCCTTTCATGGATTTCGCTCGCGATGACGGCCCTCCCCCCCCCCCCCATCCCAGATGCTCGGATACGACCGAGAGATTCAACCACCGCGCGATCCCCCGCAAGACGGCGTTCCCGCGATCCCCATCCCGAGGAACCCCTCTGGGATCGCCCACCCCGGGGTGGATCGCGTACACGCAATAATACGAGCAATCCGCGAGAAGAGAAAGCGGTGGGGCACGTGGGGAGGGCTGCCATGGGGAAAGGGAAGCCCCGTGTGGAATTCGAAGCGCCCGCACCCATCGCTGAAGTCGTCGATGGCCTTTTCGTTGAGGGTGGTGGGGAACCGCGATGACGACCTCCTCCTCCTCCTCCTCCTCCTCCTCCTTTTCCGCTTCCTCGTCCTCCTCTCGGGGAGGGGTGGGGTTTGGCGGTCGATCCCGCGCGCGGCGGAAGCCGTCGTGCACGACGTCCGCGCCCAGGCGAAGCCGATGCCGCGCCAGGTGAAACCGCTTCCTCGAGCGAGGATGCGAGGGCAACCACTCCCCCCCCCTTTGGGCGGAGCCTCGACGCGTCGCGCCAGGGCGGCGGGCCGCCCCGGCGCACCCACAACGCGGGGTTTCCTTCCCGTATTGCAAGGCGAGCCGTCGCCGGACGCGTCGGCGCCGCCGGGATGGCTTGCGAGCCCGCCGGAGACGGCGCGTGCGTTTCAGGAATCGCCGCCACTGCGCGTACGCCAAGGGCCGACGATGAGTCGCCTTCAGGCGAAGTCGGCGAAGCGTTTCGCGCCGCGCGTGCCGTTCCGCGCGAGGGGCGACCGCGACGGAGGCCTCTCGCGCGCGTTTTCGCCCGCGACGGTCCCCGAGGTGGTGCGCGAGGACGTGGGCGAAGCGGGTGGGGGGGTCGAAGAAGACCTCGAACGGGGCGGGGCTTCCGCCCGATCGCGCGCGATCCCGGCGGCGCGCGCGTTTGAGCTCGCGCAGGTAACGCGAAACGGGCAGGTTGCCCGACGCGGGGCGGCGGTAGGCCCGCGTGAGGGGGTGCTCGCCCGGGGGGGGGGCCCTCGAGGCCGGGAATAACACCGCAGCGAAGGCCTCGACCTCGGCCGTTCGCTCGGCAAAGAGCTGCGCGACATTCATGCGCGCGCGAGGTCCGAATCGGTCACCGGAGCCCAAGGGGGGAACGAAATCGATCCAATGCAGCTAATCGTCAGCGCAACCAAACCATTCAGGGAAAATAAGGACGTTTCATTTTCGCATGACACCCAACAGTCTTACCGGAAATGTTCAAGGAAACTTTAGTACATACCATGCATTTTTTTTTTAAATAATTGAGGACTATTTTTTCCCCTTTATCCATCGTTTAGTGAGAAGGAATCCCTTCACACGATCCACCATCGGCATGGATGGCTGAAGAACTCGCTTCTCTCTATGGTCCAGTTACACAAAGCGGTTGCATAGGATATCGAACCCCTCCCCCCCCTTGTTGAAATAAATCTTTCGTTTGATATCACCCATCGCCGCACCCATCGCGGGCGGCATCTGGCCAATGCGAAGCCACCGGCGGCGGTCCTCGCAGCTGCCATTCCGCCAACAGCCGAGCCATGGCGTCATGACGGGGCGCCGCGAGAAACTTCCCCGCCGGGGTAACGATAAACAACGAAGCCAAACGAGATAACTTTTCCTCGTAGTGCGTGGAAACGTCTTTTAACAGAATCTGCTCTAAATTCTTGATCCGCACCTTATCCTGGAGGGCGCTGACCGCTTCGGGAGCTTCTGAGGAAGATTCGTCATGGTGCTTGGTAGAGCTTCGTTCCTGATACTTCTCGCACACGTAAGCGTAGCACCGTTGCAGACCCTCCTCTCCGATGGCCTCAAGCTTATCCGCATCACTCACGATATTACGAATCATTTGCCAGCGAGGCGGTAAAACCTGCTCATACCAACGCAAGCCTCGCTTGGTTTCGGTAGAATATGAAATTGCTTGGATGCAACCGATAATCCGACTACAAAGCCCATCCACCCCCTCCTGGAGGAGCATCTGAACATCCTGCTTCGAGAACAAAGACCCTTCCTGCGTGATTGAGGCATCACCAACCCGGTTGAGCGCCATGACGTCTAGACTTTGAGGAGGAGAAGGGGCGGTGGCTAAATGAATCCAGTGCGCTGCCTCTTGGGATACAAAGTCGTGCAGGCTCAAGTAGAGATCCCCATGGGGGTCGTACTTGTGATCTGCCAGATCGTGCAACATCGCGACCAAGATAATCCCGTAGAGATCCAAGCAGGCCTCCGGACTCGACAGTTTCCCATCCGGCGCCATCGAATAGAGCAAAATAGCCTGCTCGGTAACCCGCTGCATGTGCGATACCCCGTGTGAGGCGCCACGACTTCCGCAGCGGTCGCCCACAATCCTCTGGCATCGCGCCCATAACTCATAATGAATCCCCTGCATGTCGAACTGTTCATGTAGGACGAAGGGATTGGGTAATGAGGCTCGTACTCAGGGGGAATGGTAAAAGACGCGTCTCCTTGATCGTGGGAAAACCAAAAACACAGGAAAGGATGCGTAGCACAAGGAGAGTGCATTGGAGGAGGTGCCAATCTCGTGCAGCGAGACGACGCACCAAAAAGGAAAATAGCCAGACATTTTTTTTTAAAAGGTCGCATGTGCTGATATGAGAAAGAGAAGTAAAAACCAATCCATCCCCCGATCTCAAACGCAATATATATATAGACGTATACATGTAATAATTCATGGATAAGTATAATAATCACAGGAAAGAATGAATCGCGCTTTTACTTTTGCGCTAATCATCATCCACTCCGTCTAGGACGTTGATAGTAGCGTTCCCGATGTCATCCTCCCCCAATGATGGGAATGGATCATCGACGAAATCCTCCTTGGTGGATACTGCTAGACACGCAATCATATCCAAATCCCCAATCGTACTACACCCCGCGGCCTCCAGCTCCACGGGAAATCGCGCGAGGAAACTCGTCAGCGCGAACCTTTCCGGGGCCTCCCACCCCTCATAAATGTCTTGATCCATAGCCCACCCGATACATTGACAGTAATGCTCTTGAAAGCTCATCATAATATTCTCCCGCACGAGTTCATCCCGCATGTAGGGCTTCGACAACACCTCGGCCTCCGCGCGAAGCGCACCACAACAGCCGCCATGATACCCGCCCCGATCCGATCCCTTGCAGGAATCGCCATGGAATCGAGAAATCCCCTCCGTGAGGTCCTCCTCCATGGAAAGGAGGGCGGCGACATGCCTGGAACGCGCAAAAACGTGCTGCATCCGCGCACTCGTCCGTAGCGGGTCGTTCGGCCCCGTTAGCCGCTCCATCGCTTCCAAAAACTCCCCGGAAAGGTGGAGAAGTTGGATGCTGTCGTGAAGCGAAAGCCGCGCGGCCGCGGTCGACACCGCGAGCGTGGTTAACCGCAACGATAAACGCCGATGGTGCGTGGGGGGGATCAGCAATCCGATGTTGGCATCCAAAGCCAGCAGCTGCCGGACCGCGAGGGTCGGGGGATCGATCCCGGGGGTGGCCTCTGTTCCCGCCTCGTCGTCGTCGCGAAGGAGCCGCCGCTCGAGCTCCGCGAGGGTTGCCTGCAGCCCCTCAAGACGACCGGCGACGGCAGATGTAAATGACAACACCGCGGTTGAATCGCCCCACCATCGACAGGACTCCGCGTGAAGCGTCGGGGGCGCGTGAAAGGCGCTTTCGGATCCGCTTCGCGGTAATTGCATCAGCTGCCCACAATCCCGGCAATACACCCCTTCCAGAAGGAGCTCCCGCGCGCGACAATCCCAAGATCGCGCGCAGGGCACCCCACCGAGCCTCTCGCGCTCCGCTTGTGAGAGGAAAAATCGTCCGTCCGGGTAGGCGATCGTGATCTCCTCCCCGGCGGCGAGCTCGCGAAGGGCGATGAGGCAAACCTCCGTCGAAAACGACCCCCCCCCTTCCCCTTCCCCCCTCCCTCCTCCCCCTCCCCACCCCACACGCGATTCCCGTGGTTCGAGAGCAGCGATGGGAAGTACACCATCGCGTTCGGGCAACAGGCGTGGTTGATAAAGCGCACCACCCCGTATAACCCTTTCCCGATTTCCATTTCGTGGAAAACATCGGTCGGGGGGTAGACGGTGCACCCGATGGCGAACCCCTCCACGCCGCGGATCCCCGTCAGCTCCTGCGGTTGCCTCGCGAGCCGGAGAAGCTCCTCGACGAGCGCGTCGCGTGAATAGGCGGGGGAAGCTCGCCGTGGGTCGGCCTCCCCTGCGGGGACGCAAGCCGGAAGCCGTAGCAAAAGCCGGAAATAATCCCCCACGCGAGGCCGCCC